GTATTACTACACCAACTTCTAAATGCCTTTGAAGAATTTTATATAAAATAAGTACAACATATGCACAAAACAAGAATAATACATATATTTGCATGGACTAACTGAAGACTAATGTAAGACTATACGGTCTCTGACGTACATTGTATAATCATGGTTCAACGTAAATATTAATACATATACGATATCATACAAACTATATCCATTATACAGAGTGATAAACGATATGTAGTAGGTATTCTGATAAAACTGCTGTATCCTTGTCTTTTATTTGGCTTATTGAACAGCATTCAAAATATATCCCTGTAGAATATAAACGTATAATCCGTGTACAATTAAAGGTATTCCTTTTCTACGATGTAACAGATTCCTTGTCTACAATTTAACGTATTGAAAGTACAGTGTATAGAACTTACAGTTTTCCTCGTGTATAGAGCAATGTATTTGTATGTACAATATTTAAGGAATTACCCGCCTGTGGTACAACGTACTTATCAACAGCATGTTGTCATATTCTTCGTGTACAGTTTGACGTACTCCGCGTCTGCAGTTGTTTGTTTTGTCACGTACATTATTCAACGTATTTATCGCCTTATTTGTGTACACACTCAGGTATTTCTCGCGCCTAATTTTATTTATTACTCGCTGTAACGCATTATTTGTGTATACTCTCAGGTATTTCTCGCCTACAATTTTAATTATTACTCGCTGTAACGCATTATTTGTGTACACTCTCAGGTATTTCTCGCCTACAATTTTATTTATTACTCGCTGTAACGCATTATTTGTGTACACTCTCAGGTATTTCTCGCCTACAATTTTAATTATTACTCGCTGTAACGCATTATTTGTGTATACTCTCAGGTATTTCTCGCCTACAATTTCAATTATTACTCGCCTACAGTTGTAACTCATTACTCGCTGTAACGCATTATTTGTGCACACTATAACGTATTTCGCGATTACAGTTCAACGAAACAAAGTTCGCCGTCTGTATTCACAGATCCAGATTGCACATTCCAACATTGCCTGGTTTTACCATGACGTATAAAACTGTTTATTGATCTGAGCCTTTAATAATAACACACCATACAACCATGTCGATATCAGCGATACTGCACCTTGCTACGTGTCATTCAGTTCGTGTACATTTCAAACGCCCCAAATCAGGTAAAATGTTAATATCACTCAGCACACACACACAACAACAACACACACCTTGTGTGTGGTGTGTGGTGTTTGTGTGTGCAAGGGGGACTGCATTCTTCAATACGATATATGTTATTCTGTTATGTAATTACCGTTAAGAGTGAGTATTCTTTACGCATCATGTACCAAATACCAGCAATGTCACACCATAACGAGGCTTCACACATTTGACCAGTGTGGGAAATCGAACCCTGGCCTTAGGCGTGACGAGCGAGGGCTTTAACCTCTAGGCTAACCTGCCAGCAACTGCTAAGAAGTCGATGACAAGAATAAGCTGAAAAATGACGATGTTAAAAAATCAATCATAAAGACAGAAGTACCCATTTGATCAAAATTATGTTATTATCTCTGAATTGTGATATTCAGTTTAGACGCTTATGTCATCAGATGTGACAAAACGAGGATTAAAAATTTAGAATATTCTCCAGTAAGATACATCGATATATTCACGAACGCTGATTCGGGAATGCATCAAAATGTAGCCCTGAGCTTCCGAATTTGGCACATGTGAATCGTTTTCACAGATGTCGGGTAACCCCAGCAATGGCCAAGCTGGAACATTTCCTGTGACATAACACGTGCCGGGGGCAGTCTGTGGACTGATAGGGGGGACATATCCCGTGTCACTTTGTGTTGTAATTAGAGTAGAACCAGGCTAATGAATGGGTCAGACCAGCTGGAGGGGTAAGGGGGTGTTGAGTGGCGGGGTTGTGGTTGGGAGCTGCGTACGGCAAAGAAATAGACTGACGCTTTGAATAGATATGATTTTGATAGTAACATTTAAATTGAAAAGGAGCCCCAGTGAGGTTTGAACCTGAACCTGAGGAAATCTAGACTTGCTTCATTTACACTTTAGCATTGCAGGGAGGGCTGGGCTGTAGAGAAAATGATGTGGTTCGGGGTCTGTGAGGCAGACTTGGAAAAAAATGGTCAGTTACCTTTTAATGCAATAACTCTTACTACTAACGCTTAGTCTCTGAATACAGACAACTTTGATAGAAACAAACAATTAATTTTAAATGAAAAAGGAGCCATAGTGAGAAGGGATCGAGATTCCTGTCTGAACCGGGGAAACCTAGAATACTTCATTTAGGGCTTGAACATGGTTGAAAGGGTAGAAATGAAAATATTACGGTTCACGGACTGAGACGGACTATATTTCCTTGTTCAGGCACATTGTGTGAGTCACGGGTGCTTCCGGTACAGCAGGACATGCGTACGCGTCTCGCGAACACACGGTGTCTTCACTTATATCCAGTGTTCTTTTAATATAATGTCCTTCACTATTTTATTTCTCACACCCAATGAAATACACTTCTGCCGCTTGTTTTGCAATATGCCAGCAACAATAGTGCGAGGGACACCAGAAATGGGCTTCACACATAGTTCCCTTGTGGGGAATCGAACCCGGGTCTTCGCCATGACGAGCGAACGCTTTAACTACTAGGCTATCCTACTGCCCCGTACTTGAGGAAGGGGGTCAGATTGTATTCTTCTTCGGTCTCACTTTAAAATACAATGGAAAGAGAGAGAACCGAGGTCACGTGTCTGCTGTCCGGTTATGGCTCGTGTAGATATCAGCTTAGACTAATGCTTAGTCTCTGAATATGTATAATTTTGATAGTAACAAACAAGCCCATTTAAATTGAAAAGGAGCCCTAGGGAGACCAGAGACTTGCTTTATTTAGGGCTTTAGCACTGCAGAGAGGGCTTGGCAGTAGGGAAATAATGTGGTTCAGGGACTGTGAGACAGACTAATATCAGCTATGTTCCATCGGGAAGTACAACAGGGAGCAGCACACGACATGGGCAACACGGTCTCGGCTATGGACGACGGGAGCGTTGTGTTTCTCTACTTCCTGGCAGGAGCATGTCAGGTGGTGAACTGTTTAAGCTCAAGTCACAGACTTAACACGTCGAACAAACCACACTCAAACCATGCCTGACCTTCCACATAGTTACATTTAAAAACACAATACAAAAACATTGATGGTCATTTCGCTGCAGCTAAACACATATATAGACATGCTGAACTTGATACTGTATCCCATTAGGACAATTACGCCGACGCTAACGCGCACGCACGCACGGACACACACACACAAAAAGAGACCATGCATACCACACACAAACACACTCACGCGCGTGCGCTTCTTTACAACATGCATACGCACATAAATGCTGATCAGAATTTGACAGGGGCCAAACTATGTATCTTGAGGCAACAGCTTACGTGATCCTTGATAAATCATGTTTAATAGCTCATACACACATATAACTAACACACACACACGCACGCACGCGCACACACACACACACACACACACACACACACACACACACACACTAAACAGCCCATGCATGCACACCCACCTACAACTACAAACATATATAACTGTATATAATAATATTTTACATGCATGTGCATACACACGCACGTGAAATTGCATATATACATGTATTTACACACACACACAAACGCATTCGCATGTCCACACACACGAACGCACCCACACATGTATGTACACACAAACGAACGCAAACGCACACATGTATGTACACACACACACTAACGTTTGCATGCATTCATACATACGTATGCATGCACGCACGCACACACAAACATCCACACGCACACGCAGACGCACACACACAGGTGTAAGAAACAACACTATCTCTGTGATCTCCCCATGTATATGTTTACAAACGTAGACCCCCGGGACACACTGTGAGTAGGGGACGTGACTATGAGATACCTGAAGGAACACTGCCCCCTGTGAAGTGTACAAGTGAACCGGCTTATCAATCCGCTCAATGTATTCCCATCACGTGTAAGTGGTCATGAGTATGTGCATGTCTTGTATACTGGCGCGCTTGCTTGGGAAATATATGACAGATAGAACATGTGCGTGAGTGCGTGCGCGCGCGTGTAGGTGGTGGGTGGGGAGCTCGAGTGAGGGAAGGGGGAAAGAGTGAGACAGGGTAAAGGAGAAAAGAAGAAAACAGAGAGAAGAAGGTTAGAGAGAAAAGGGACGGAGGGGTTGATTTACGTCTGTTTTGCACTTTGTGATTTTTTGTCGTTGTTTTCTTGCACGTACGTAATTCAGTGCATGCGTACTGAAAACAGGCATCATCAAACAGTAAACTATAAAAAAACAAGTAGAAAACAATCATTGTGTCGTGAACGTCGTTTAACTTACATGCCTCTATAAAATCAAGTGCTAAAACATAAGAAAACGAAAGCTGTAAGTCTTTCAATCGATTTGAAAACAAAGCGGAGTGTTTTCAAAGAGTTTTGGAGTAGGTTCAGTATCTACAATCTCTTGATAAATTCGTAACCTGGATTTTTTCAACACCCTACTCTGAAACCGTAATTAGAAGGCTGTGGGTGTATTTGGGTAGTCCTAAGTCTACTCCGATCGTAAGTGTCCACTGAGGTTTTACACAAACCCAACCCTTTACAGCAAATGTCATTCACATTCCGTTTAAACCATGAATAGCTCCCGTTAAAGATAACTAGACTGTGTTATTTTTATAACGTTTAAAGGGAGATAACAGCTGTCGGTCTAACCGAAGAATTTGTTACGGGTCCTTCAAGGAGATCACGTGATAAGCCACGGAGGGCAAGACGACCGTTGCTTAGCAACAGGGTTAAGGAGTGAGGATCAATATTGAAATGTTAATTGTAAGCCTTGTCGAGGTCTCTCAGCCAATCAGAATGCTCTTCGGGTTTGAAGTAACCAATCAGCTACTTCGACACAATCAGGGTTGCTAACAACAGGCGATCCTGTTGACCGTTTCCATAATTAGTAGTATATATACCGGTCGGTGGCTGTTCAGCGCATACTCAGTTTCTCGTCAGTGTTCGTGCAACTAGGTCTCTATTACAAGTCAGAATGAGGGAAATCGTACATTTACAAGCTGGACAATGCGGAAACCAGATCGGAGCTAAGGTAGGACACGTTTAGTTAAAATTGTTGTCGCGAACTTACAAATGGCGTTTGAACATAACCCACTCGATCAGACGTCTGATTTAACTGGGTCACCCAACACACATGATTATATCGCCATTTTGATATGTGCCGGCATTTAATCGGTTTTGAAGACATATTTCGATCCATGTTGTAGACGGGGGGATATTTGTTTCCATGAATCGCCATTTTATAAGCCAGAGAAAAGCCGTGAAGCATGACCGGCGTGGTCTACTATAGACAAAGGCAACTGGCGGGAAGGCATGGAGTGTTGATGTTCGATAACAAAAGGTTCCCAGTGATAAGTCTGTGTATGTATTTAGTTGATACAAATTGTTATTGGCGAGTTAAAGGTCTGCTTCCAGTGAATCACCATCCACATCGCCACAATGAGTCATATGATCGGTACTGCATGGCGGCCCTGCATACATTATGATAATGTGCTGTATGCCGTCAGCTTCTTGTCATTGTGAAGTTGTTACCAATGGTCGTCCCCATTTTGTTTAAGACACACTCTGCCCCCGTCCCCATTTTGAAACAGATTCAAATTGTTAATTATCGAGTTCAGTGGTAGACCACGGGGAAACAGGTGTGCCGGCAGGGCGTTGCCCCAGCAACCACCGCCCGTCCGTTAAGATATGAAATTCACAACACTTATTCGCTGAGGCGTCCTCTGGGCGGGAAGGGTATTGTCTGGGTCGAACGTTACGTTTTAAACCTGAGCGTTACCCGCGAATACAACCTTTCTGACATCCTTCACTTATGCATTCGTGACACAATTTAAAATGGCGGCTGGTATCACATTATATTGAACAGGATAATGTAAGTTGGTATTACACCAAACACATTTTGACGAGTAACACAGTTGTGGGGATATCACTTTGATATTATTGAAAAACATAAGATAATGAAAATTATTCGGAATTTTGTTTAATAAAATCAAGGATTGTGTAGTAGTAAAATCTCGTGGCCCCATATATGTTTCTGGTCCGGCAGATCCCAACATGGCGGCAATGTTTTATGTCAACAAAGTCCGGGAACAGGGGGAAACACAGAACATATTTGGTGTGGGGAGTTTGCAAGACTGTGTAAACTAAGACTATCACGTTCAAGTAAACCCGGCCTACAGAGGAATAACACACTTAACATTCGCTGGCTCTTCAGGTAAATCGTCCACACTGCTCCCCACACAAACCGCTCTGACAAGATTGACACGAGCAAAGGGTATCTTTGTAAGGAGCTTCGTTAAATGTTATCCTTATATGGTTGAGTTCAAGCTCCTAACACTCCTTGTACAAATAAACTTAGGAAGACTCTAAATGGCATGCTATGCCAACACAAGTGGTATGTCAGGCTGAGGTGTTATCTCAAGTAATTGTAAATAAACATGAGTCGTTTTGTTGCATAAGAATAAATATTCTGATTAATTTAGGTCATATTTCGTATTACAGTTCTGGGAGGTGATCTCCGACGAGCACGGCATCGACCCCACCGGCACCTACCATGGTGACTCCGACCTCCAGTTGGAGAGAATCAACGTCTACTACAACGAGGCTACAGGTGAGTAAACGTGAAATGGCAGCACCATATACACACTTTGTGGTATCTGTTTAAGGCGTTGAAATAATTACATTTCTTCGTAATAGTGACTACATTTTGTACATGAAGCCTGATAAAACATCAGTTGTTAGCTAGCGATCTGTAGGGGAACTCTTGTTCACTGTTGAATTGTAATATAAATTTGTTGAATTGTAGTATAAATTTGTGTTTGTTTTATATCGTAATTTATCCATGGATGAAAGTTTAATATCTGATTTTACATAGTAAATCTTTTGAGTTATTTGTGATTTACTAAATTTCAAGAGGACATTCCTTAACAAAGTGTCATTGTAATTAAGTGTTACAATAAGATGAATATTTCCTATTTTCAATTTTCCCTCATTTTACAGGAGGCAAATATGTCCCCCGTGCTGTCTTGGTCGACCTGGAGCCAGGAACTATGGACTCTGTCCGATCTGGTCCTTTCGGACAGATCTTCCGTCCAGACAACTTTGTGTTCGGTCAGAGCGGTGCTGGCAACAACTGGGCCAAGGGTCACTACACAGAAGGTGCTGAGCTGGTAGATTCCGTGTTGGATGTTGTTCGCAAAGAGGCCGAGAGCTGTGACTGTCTTCAGGGCTTCCAGCTGACCCACTCTCTTGGTGGCGGCACCGGGTCAGGCATGGGCACCCTCCTCATCAGTAAGATCAGAGAGGAGTACCCAGACAGAATCATGAACACTTTCTCCGTTGTGCCATCACCAAAGGTGTCCGACACAGTCGTCGAGCCCTACAACGCCACTCTGTCAGTCCATCAGTTGGTTGAGAACACAGACGAGACATACTGTATCGACAACGAGGCTCTGTACGACATCTGCTTCAGAACACTGAAACTGACCACACCCACATACGGTGACCTCAACCATCTTGTGTCAGCCACAATGTCCGGAGTGACCACCTGTCTGAGGTTCCCTGGTCAGTTGAACGCCGATCTCCGTAAACTGGCTGTCAACATGGTGCCCTTCCCCCGTCTTCACTTCTTCATGCCCGGCTTCGCTCCCCTCACCTCCAGAGGAAGCCAGCAGTACCGTGCACTCACTGTGCCCGAGCTCACCCAGCAGATGTTCGATGCCAAGAACATGATGGCTGCCTGTGATCCCCGTCACGGCCGCTACCTTACTGTGGCAGCAATCTTCCGTGGTCGCATGTCCATGAAGGAGGTCGATGAACAGATGCTTAATGTCCAGAACAAGAACAGCAGCTACTTCGTTGAATGGATCCCCAACAACGTCAAGACCGCCGTCTGTGACATCCCACCACGTGGTCTCAAGATGTCTTCAACCTTCATCGGCAACAGCACTGCAATCCAGGAGCTGTTCAAGCGCATCTCCGAGCAGTTCACGGCCATGTTCAGGAGAAAGGCTTTCCTCCATTGGTACACTGGCGAGGGCATGGATGAGATGGAGTTCACTGAGGCCGAGTCCAACATGAACGACTTGGTGTCTGAGTACCAGCAGTACCAGGACGCCACCGCCGAGGAAGAGGGAGAGTTTGACGAGGAAGAGGGAGACGAGGAAGCCGCCTAATATGCCTGAGTCAGTTGACATCAAGCCTTATGACATTGTTTGGCATTTCGCAAAGGGACCAAAAATAAAACGCAAAGAAAGTCGGCCAAATACTGATGTGCAATTATAGTCAATGTTATTTATTATTCCGCAACATCGTGAACCATTTCGACATTTTTGTCAGACTTTTCAAAATGCTGAATCAAACGCTTCAACGCGAAACATGTTTATATGTGATATTCATTTTGATGTTACAACCGGGTGAATAAACCACTTGCAATGTCGATACAATTAAAACTGGCATTTGTTTAATTAGTTGAAAGGGTCGAAGTCCGACAGTCCGAGTTTCCGACAGAGGAGGCGGGGGGGTGGGAGGATCAGTCATTTATCCCAGTTGATTGGATGAATTGAGGCTTTGGCATACGAAAAATATTATTTTCCATTTGCCTGTCTCCAGATCAATGGACAAGTGTTAAACGTCTTAATTAGTGTGTCGGTTGTAATAATATCGCACCTCTACCACACAAACCAGTGATTATGGGAAAGTAACTACAGAGTATGTGAAACAAATCCCCGATTTAGTTGGGGTCGTCTCCTGGTTAAAGTGTCCGATCGTCACGCCAACAGCCCTTGTTCGATCATGTTGAGCACAATGTAAAATAACGTTTAAATATGGTACTGTTACACTGTTTGTCGTGGGGCAGCCTAGTGGTTAAAGCGTTTGCTTGTCACGTCGAAGACCCGGTTCGATTCCCCACATGGGTTTTATGTGTGAAGCCCATTTTTCTTGTCTCCCCGCCGTGATATTGCTAGAATATTGCATACGAACGACGTCAAACCCAAATTCACTCTGCCTGGCAATCAACGTGAAGGGTATCACACATTGGTCGGTTTGCTGTGCGTGGGTGGGGATATCTGTTTAACCCTGGCATGGTATTTCAGTGGGTTGGTGCTTACTGGTACATGCGTCTGCATGTAAGTACCTTTTTATTAAACGCGACATTAACCTGCATTTCACCTCGGGTCAAAGAGTTGTATGGCATTTATACCAGTTCTACACGCAACTTCGAGATGGATATTTTATACCGACAGATACCTAACAAGTATACGAACATGCACGTATTCCCAATTCAACAAGGAGGTCTGGGGTTAGATCTCCGACTTAATGAATACCACCCGTGAAGATTCGGGTTAGATTTGATCTTCTGTAACCCATGCTTGTAAGAGGCGACTAACGGGATCGGGTGGTCAGGCTCTCTGACTTGGTTAACACGTCATCGTATCCCAACTACGTAGATTGATGCTCATGCTGTTGATACCTGGATTGTCTGGTCCATACTGGATTATTTACAGACCGACGCCACATAGTTGGAATATTGCTGAGTGCGGCGTAAAACTCACTCACGTTATGAATACAGAGCAAAACCATACACTTGTAACAGAAATACAGCTAATATGACATTTTTGTCGCTTGCTATAGCAGCGCCAAATTCTTTTTCTCAAATGATTGATTAATAGACCCTCAGTCAAACGTAAGATCATCAACAAGGGAATCGGTATTATCATGATGTAGTAAAAACTGATTAAACAAAAATGAGATCTCAGTTTTAAAATCTATCATATATGAGCTAAAACAGGTTTTACCTTCAGTAAAACAGATAACCTTAACTGTGATTACCTTCATCTCTTTTGAGCCTGAGGTGAACGATGAGTGGGAAGTCCAAAACTTGTAAAATTTTAAATCTTCATTGTTACCGAAGTCCAATATGGTGGCGAGCTCGTCGGCCTTCTTCACGGGGGACAGGTCCGGTTGTGTTTGTGCGGCTATGTATCGAGTGCGGAAACACATGACAAATGTTTGTTAATGGTGTAAATGTAGTTACAATACTGCCCAGTGACGTTACTCGTAAATTTCAGTGTGAAAGATAAAGCGAATGATTTGTTCGTAATTCATGATATCAGTCAGACAAAATGAAATCTAAATTCACAGTGACACACGTCGTTCACTTGTCACACAGAGCAAGGGTTGACACTATGAGACTGAAAAAAGCGTGCAAAGCGGGTTCATTTGTAGCGGGACAGTGCACCTGATTCTCAGATTGCAAAAGAAGACCTTACTGATGTAATATTAGACTGTTCCTATCGACTTGGAGATACAGAAGAAAATCTAGACTTCATTTAATGGTTGTACACACAGACCCCCACTGCGGGTCAGAAAATCGATAAACTAGGCCCCGGTTTAGTATCAACACCCCCTACTATATAATACATAAAGGTTCATCACAGAAATACGGTGACATGATCGAAAACCGGACAATTACGCACACGTCAATGAATATATCGTATTTTAAAGGTCTCACAAGTATCAAAAGCTTTTGTCCATATCTCCGATATATGTAGGAGGCATATACATGCGCTTTCCGTGGGGATGCATTTGATGGGTTTTATTAAATCGCCAAAGACCGAGTTGCTGTGCCGGAAGTGTACAAAACTAGTTCAGTTTATCTTGAATTTTCAACATACTATAAAATAGTTTTCAATGAAATATTTAATTTTGAATTAAATTAAACTATCCACATAGCAACTTGTCTTCTGTACATCCATAGGAATCGAAAACAATGTACAATGTACAGTGACATTTTTGGTCACTATTTACAGCATAACACAAGGATGTTTACACTAACAACTAGTCTCTGAAATGAACATATTTTACAGAAAAAAAGCTCATAGTAAAAAAAAAAAAAATCTAATGAAAAGGAGCCCGGAGAATTTCTTCAGCTGTGGAAATCTAGACTTGCCACATATACTAGACTTACGTGGGCTTTCTTGGATATACTTGCTTCAGGGTCTCTATGACAGACTAAAGGGTGTTTTGCTCGCCCAGTTCTTGGAGAAAGAGATGCTAGCCCATAGGTGTAAAGGGAGAGAACCCTTGTCATCGTAGTGATTATCAAGAATGCGTCAAGATGCTGATTACTGTCTGAACGGACTCCTTGAGTTTAAGGCCGCCTTTAAGCGTTATTTCAGCTATATAATGACATCTCGGCAAAATATAGGAAAAAAGCAGTGCACCCTTGTAAATCGGCCAATTATTATGCATCTCCGAAAATACCATTATGCCTGTCGCCATTAGAGTGTCCTCCACAGTCATGTATATTCTCACACAACCATGTGCTGATAACCCACCCGTCAAATAAAATCACTTGTTATAATTCATTTATTCTGCTGATTTTGTAATTTGCTCAATTGCCGCATAGACGTTTAAACAATCTAATAACCGCTGTAAGTATACAACGTCTAAAAGATTTGTTTTCACCTAAAATGTATGGTGCAACGACAATTTATTTGTAAATTGTCTTAATTGTAATTTATTTGTAAATTGTCTCCCTTGGATTGGCACCGACATTTCACTCTAGCCTGGAACAGTTTATTGGTGTACGTATGTGTACAGGACCGTATCATGTAATGTTATATACTGCACAGCTTGCATTAGCTTTCATAAAATATTAAATCAATATTAAACTCTCAAAGTGATATCAATGTGTCAGTGAGTGGCATACAAACCGGTACACCTGCAGTAGCAGCTGAGGCGAACTCAAGGCAGTATCTGTGCTACCCCGATTAATCATCAACACTGCATTTGAATAACAAATGGTAGTAAAGAAAATTCAGCTGTTCGACAGATAGAGAGCACCGATTAATAGTGTTTTAATGTCCAGCTCTGATGTTTATAACTGGTGGTAGACGACCCAGTTGCCACAATTCAGAACAGTACGATGAAATACAACTATAATACTACGAGTAGGGGTAAATAAATATAGCCTTGCTCCAAGGCTGTACTGAAAGCTGAACCCATGGATGTATAGTAATTCTATCCTTCGAAGAGGCAAGTCTAGATAAGGACCCCAGTCCGGTATTTATCATTTTTTAGAAATTCTCATTTAAACTATTAATTTTTACCTGAGAGACTTGTGCAAGTCTAGGGATAATAGAACTTGTACCTTGCCCCATTACCATCATGCGTTACAATATATACAATGCCATACATATAGCTACAGATGCACGCAAGGCCGGTGGGGGTAGCCTAGTGGTTAACGCATTCGCTCGTCACGCCGAAGACCCGGGTTCGAATCCCCACATGGGCATAATGTGTGAAGCCCATTTCTGGTGTCTTCCGCCGTGATATTGCTGGAATATTGCTAAAAGCGGCGTAAAACCATACTCACTCACTCACTACAGATGCACACATACAAGAGTCATCATTTACTGAGCCCTAGTTACTTTCTGAATATAGATTAGTTCAATGGTGCAGTTAATACACTAGAATGTAGGTCAATTGGCTAGTCACTTAACAGCATTTATTACGTCCTATACAGATTGCAGATCACAGCATAAACACATAGGTCTGAGAGATCATCACGCCATTCACCAACTGAACCGCTTGGATTACAAATACAGCCTGAAATAACGCACATCTAAGACAGTGCTGTAGTATAACTACGTCTTGAATGCTGAGTGCTGTCTATAGAGACACGGCAGTCTGTCTCACTGGTGAATCCGGGGACGTGTTCCTTCATGGATGGGTGTGATTTTACGCCGCGTTTAGCAATATTCCATCAATATCACGGCGAGGGAATCCAGAAATGGGCTTCACACATTGCACCCATGTCGGGAATCGAACTCGGGTCTTCGGCGAGACGAGTGAACGCTATAACCACAAGGCTACCCCACCGCCCGTATACCGTAATGATTATTGAAGAGTTGAGCAGACACCCAGTACCGACACTCTGTTAAATACAATAAGTGAGTGAGTGAGTTTAGTTTTAAGCCGCTTTCAGCAATATTCCAGCAGTATCACGGCGGGGAACACACGCATGGGCTTCACACATTGTTCCCATTTGGCTAATGGAACCCGGGCTGAACCACTAAGCTATCCCACCGCCCCGTTTAATACAGTGGGGGATTCTAGTGGTGAGTGCAAATGCTGAGGTTACAGAGACAAGAGTTCCTAGGTTGGTCGTGACTACAGTCCGTTTGGCTCAAAAGCGGACCGATGAATTGCAATCTAACTCGAAAACTAATAAACATATAACACTCAATGAAATGCTGATCATAATCAAAACATCAGACCAACTCCGTGATTTGTGTGCAGAATTTATGTCCTAAAATTACAAAAGTTGTTTAACAAACTATCACTAAAATATTGACACAGTTCACTATTTTTTACGAGGGAGGAGTGCAGAGAAAGGGACAGCCAGGTGTTAGAGAAGCACGTGCACAAGTGCCGACAAAGTTAATGATTCATTAACCTGTGCTGTGCCGTCTCCATCCTTTCTCGCACACCTGGCTGTCCCTTTCTCTTGAACTGTGTCAATATTTTAGTGATAGTTTGTTAAACAACTTTTGTAATTTTAGGACATAAATTCTGCACACAAATCACGGAGTTGGTCTGATGTTTTGATTATGATCAGCGTTTCATTGAGTGTTATATGTTTATTAGTTTTCGAGTTAGATTGCAATTCATCGGTCCGCTTTTGAGCCAAACGCACTATAACCGCGGGTGCCTTGCAACCTGCGCTGTCCCGTTAAATAACCCAACTGCACGACGTTACCAGCCGAGATGCCGCCCCTGTCGCCTGATCCATGTATCAGCGACAGCAGAGTAGGCATTCGACTTGCACAAGTCGCCAGATAAGTCTCCAGGAGAGAGAGAGAGAAATTGTTTATTGTATTCTCACCCAACACATTTACAGATATATAAACAATGCTGCCTTAGTAAAATGCATTGGCCGCCATAAAAGGTTATGAGAGAATTTTAAAACATAATAGGCATTATTAAAATATAATATACAAAATACATAAGTAACATTTTTGCTTCAATCATTCAAATACTTTCATCCGGTTAATATAAAGATATCAAAACCATTCACACTTTAACAGTGAGTGAGTGAGTGAGGCAATATTTCAGCCATATTGTGACGAGAACAATGTAATTTATATCAATATTAAAATCAATATAGTTAGAACATAAAACCCTGTCATCGAAGGACAGTAAAAATACTAGAGTGTCACAGATATATAGTACACTAGTACACTATCGTAAAATTAAATCACTATAGACAGTACAGAATAAAAACGGGCTATAGATCACCAACAACTGAAGGTAGATCACCATACTAGGGTCCATGGGGACTTACAAATACAGTACCTTTGCTACCTGCATGGACCCTAGCTGGATTTACATCATCCCTTCAGTCATTGGCAATTATGACAAGCATGGGTTGCTGAAGACCAATTCTAATCCGGATCTTCACGGATCCATGTCTCAAAGAGCTTGTGAGAGTATGCCTGAGCATATTCACTTTTACATATAAAGTGAAATCCCGTTACTCCGTAAATATTCTTCGTTCAAAGCTAACTAGAATCGGTACTTTCCGGAATATATAGGGTTTATCATGACATGATTTGTTTACACCTGATTGGTATAGGTAATTTTCTGCTTTATAAGGGTTTATCATTACATGATTCGTTTACCTGTGATTGGAATAGGTAATTTTTCGGTTTATAAGGGTTTATCATTACATGATTCGTTTACCTGTGATTAGTTTAGGTAATTTTCCGGTTTATAAGGGATTATCATTACATGATACTGATTGGTATAGGTACTCTTCCGGAATGTAGGGGGTTCATTATGACATGATTTGTTTTCCCTGACAAATATTCAATTTAATATATTTCACGGTTTATAAGGTTTCATTGTAAAATGACTCGTTCAGCTCTCACCGGATTCGGTACTTTCCGAATGATATGGGCTTAGTGGAACGTGATTTGTTTCTCTATCTGGATACCATCTGGATTGTAATGATGATAAGTGTTTCACTGTAAAATGTGTTACGGGTTCGTTGCAGTGCAAAGGTTTTCTTCCACTCCTATAAAAGAAATATCTACAACGAACAGCCTCATAACGGCGGATTCTGGAGCAAGGCTACTCAATAACACAACTTACAGCCCATTTTCCAGTGAAAGATGTGCACTCAGCTGGTTGAGAATTTCAATAATGATTTACAATATGTATACATACACTCTGATAATATATTGGGGCTCTCTGCTGCATCTGGTGTCAGCTGTCATATACCATCGTTTCTTACAGCGCTCGTGTCGACACTCTCTGGGGCTTTGAATGGCAAGGGAAGCAACTCTTGACACGTTTGAACTGTATAACGACTGAGTTTTAAAGACGCGGGCGAGGGTAAACAAAGAAGCATGGAGTGCAGTATTGGGTCGTTATTGAACAAATCAGAAATCTTTTTTCTCACTGTGACAGCCATATATTAGAGTCTTTATGTGTTCTGATTTAAAATATGAGACTCGACAATTAGAAACATTTGACATTTTTAGGGATATTATTTTTCAACTCTAAAACGTTTTTTGTTTGTTTTGTTTGTTTGTGTGCAGCCTTTTACCAATGTTGCCGAAGGCCAATTCTAACCTGGATCTTCGCAGGTGACGTACGGCGCCTTTGATTTTGGGTGTGAATCCTAAATTCGGCCGGCCTGGATTCATTTTTTGAATATTGTTGTTATTGATTTCAAAACTGATTAGTCGAAGAAAAACAACAACAGCAACAACAACAACCTTAGTTAAGTCGTCCCCTATGCTTGTGTAATCTCATACCAGAATCCTTTTCGTTTTCCTTTATACACATTCCGCTTGACACGAACTTGGGATATGATAGTTGGCTATATGCCATGGTTAGAGTGGGTGAGTGAGTGAGTGAGTGAGTGAGTTTGGTTTGACGTCGCTTTTAGCAATATTCCAGCGGGGGACACCAGAAATGGGCTTCACACATTGTACCCATGTGGGGAATCGAACCCGGGTCTTCGGCATGACCACTAGGTTATTGGGTTTCTTCTTGTATATTACGAACTCTGATTGGGTAACGACTCAGTTTTGTGTCTGACAGGTCTGTTTGGATTATCGAAGTTGAAATATTAGCCTAAGCGCTCTGTCACCAGACTGTAATCAGTCATGTGCACGCACGCACGCACGCACGCACGCACGCACGCACGCACGCACGCACGCACGCACACACACACACACACACACACACACACATACATACATACATAGATACCCGTAGAGCGGAAGGTCGCGGGTTCGATCCCCGACCGCGTCACGCCAAAAGACGTTAAAATATGGTACTTGTTGGTCCCTGCCTGGCGCTCGGCATTAATGGGTACAACAAGGACTGGTCGGTATCTCAGTGGGCTAGCACTATAAAACCAGCTTCAGTATGGGCTAGTACAAGCAGCCGCACATACACATACACACGCATGCACGTCATCATATGAGCGCAATATTCTCAAGCACGACGTTAAACCCAATTTCACCTCACCTCACCTCACATACATACATATCATCTTCACAGCGATTTGGATTGTCACGGGTTTGAACAATATTTCAGTGACCTAACTGTTTGTCAGCTTTATGAGGAAAGAATACCTGATTTGAATCACGACACAAACGGCTTTCCTGCTTATGAAAAACCCACGAGACTGAATGCAGACCTACCAAACCAGGATATAAATGTTGCTGTGTGATCGTGAGAGAGAGTAAGATGGGCAATAACCGCGTAAATCCTCAAATTTGTAAGTCTCACGTCGGTCGACCACAATTAGACGCTACCACACTCGTACCACACCTGTGCAACATTTGACCAGGAAGAGACATTACAAAGTCAATACATGTACAAAGACAATACATGTCCGGAATCGTTACGTCTGTACATACTGCCCAGTCACTTGTGCACAGGAGCAAAGCCTCTTCGTCGTCAGAGAAACTTACTGCTCACCCCTACACCATAGTGGACTATCCCACACAGCGATGCTAAGCAGTCAGAAGTTCAAGTTTTGATAAGAAAGTGTACTTGCTTTGACTATGTAGTTTGGATACCCATTACAAGGTGTGTGGTCAGTTATTACAACTTCACGATGGTGTCAAACAGGTAAGAATGTTTCGTATACAATTAGGCGTTGGATTTATAGATGCATCGTAGGTCACAGCGCACTGTTGTGCCTGAACTCCAATACGTCTAGTTCGGTAACATCTGTTGAAATGTGATATCCTTCAGAGCGCCCTCCCTTCATCCTTAGCTCTGGCGTCTTGGCAGTGCCAACGAGGAAACGGACGAACCAGACTGTATGCATTACTCGTGAACCGTCCTTACTTTACACGTCCCACACAAGTTTGACAGATAACACTTGCCCCGTCATCTGCGACGGTAGACTAACACTTAGACTCTTAATATATTTAATTTCGATAGTAACAATAAACCCATTTAAGGAGCCCCAGTCAGATGGGAAATTAAACCAGAGGGAATCTAGACTTGCTCCATTTAGGGCTTAAGCATTGCAGGGAGGGCCAGACAGGAGGGAAAATGTGGCTCAGGGACTGTGTGTGAGACAGACAAGGCAAAAAACAGTCAGTTACTTTTAAATGCAATAACTTTTGCGACTAACACTTAGTCTCTGAATCGAGATAATTTTTATAGAAACAACCAATTCACTTAAATTGAACAGGAACCGTAGCGAGAAGGGAGATTCTTGTCTGAACCGAGGAAATCTAGACTACTGCGACGGTATCCAGCCTATATTCTTGCTGTTGACCTCTACAGCAAAATGTTTCTTATATACTGAACTGCTAAATATAGAACGTCAGAGCAAAAAAATAACCTCTCGTAAGTATCTGAAGAAAAAAAGAATTCTCTAAAGAGTAAATTGAAAAACAGCTGTAGAAATTTCACGGATTGATCACCAAAATCAGTGATGACACCAGGTGTTGGCGAACAGGGTCAGCATGTCCTGCCCTATTGGTACCACCCACCATTCACAAATTGTGCCTAAAATGGAAATATGGAAGTACTCCTGCCACGTGGCGTCCTTAAATTCCGTATCTGGTGCCCCCGTTGTGATATTGCTGGATTATTGCTAAAAGCAGCGTAAAACCATACTCATTCACTCCCAGGGGTTGAATTTTTTTAAAAAGACTTTAAGAAAGTTACTTGTCCTAACTAATTTTCCACTTGCCCTGATTTAATGAAATAATCATCATGATGTAATTATGAAAGAATAAATCAACATGGTATTTGATGTTAATGTTTACTGGACTATTTATTGAAAAGTGATAAATAGCAAAGAAAGAAAAGTCTACTTATTATCATTGCGAAATTTAATAGCTACATTGTGAGCAGATATGAAATTAAAACCAAGTTTATTTGCAGTTTGAAACCATAAGTAGAAATTATCTAGTAGCCCACGGACAAGTAAGATACCATTATTTGAAATAAAAACTGACTTGTGCCGGGCGTCGGGCGATGGGATTTTTGAACAGCTGACTTCTTGAATTCCTTTACTGATTTGGGGCATTTTTCATAATTGAAGTATATACTATAAATATACGTTTGACGTAAAATATGCAAGGAATTAGAAATGAATTGCTGTTGACTGTGGTGGAAAGATAAAGATCCTTTGGATGATTGGACGAATAGTCGAGGGTTTAAGTCGCTTTTGTCATCATCAACCAGACTGTTTTATACGCTTGCATCTTGATATCAGTTTTCTGTTCGTAGTATGCACATTCCCTGATTTAGTGCTATTAGAGACGGATGCCACTGTGTCGGTGTGTCGTCCTGACTGGCAGATGTACAATACTAATGTGTGTGTAATAGTAATATCAGTTCTGTAATCAACTTCATCAAACAACAGTGTTCGAAGAGTGAGCGATCTCAAGCCCTCACTCAGGGCCTCAAAAACAGTGAGTGTATCATGCCAAGTGGCACACTTCGGAATGTGTTCTTAGTGTGTACATGAGACGAAGAGACAATGTTCTTAGTGTGTACATGGGGCGAAGAGACAATGTTCTTAGTGTGTACACGAGGTGAAGAGACACTGTTCTTAGTGTGTACATGAGACGAAGAGACAATGTTCTTAGTGTGTACACGAGGCGAAGATACACAGTTCTTAGTGTGTACATGGGGCGAAGAGACAATGTTCTTAGTGTGTACACGAGGCGAAGAGACACTGTTCTTAGTGTGTACACGAGGCGAAGAGACACTGTTCTTAATGTGTACGGGGCGAAGAGACAATGTTCTTAGTGTGTACATGGGGCGAAGAGACAATGTTCTTAGTGTGTACATGGGGCGAAGAGACACTGTTCTTAGTGTGTACATGAGACGAAGAGACAATGTTCTTGGTTTGTAAACTAGGTCAAGAGACAATGTTCTAAGTGTGTACACGAGGCGAAGAGACAATGTTCTTAGTGTGTACACGAGGCGAGGAGAGAATGTTCTTGGTTTGTAAACTAGGTCAAGAGACAATGTTCTTAGTGTGTACACGAGGCGAAGAGACACTGTTCTTAGTGTGTACATGAGACGAAGAGACACTGTTCTTAGTGTGTACACGAGGCGAAGAAACAATGTTCTTAGTGTGTACACGAGACAAAGAAACAATGTTCTTAGTGTGTACACGAGACAAAGAAACAATGCTCTTAGTGTGTACACGAGACAAAGAAACAATGTTCTTAGTGTGTACACGAGGCGAAGAGAAAATGTTCTTTGTGTGTACTTGAGATGAGTGTTACTGCGCTTAGTGTCTACATAAAACCAAGTGCAATTGTACTTAGTGTGGGCATCAGGCTAATTGAAAATGACCTTTGATAAACAGGCAATTGAAAATGACCTTTGATCAACAATGTTGTTTATCTTTTTGTCTTGTTCAAACTCAGTTATTTACCCTCACAAAAAGTACTTTCGAGACATCGATTCCGCTTATCAGCTAATGATTGATAACTAGGAATCATTTACCTACTGAATTCTAGATAGCGTTAAGAAACTGTGATTTCGTTTTAAGTATTTGAACTTTTTCATCGAAGGAAAGTAACTACTAATTCTAACTTTAATGTGTTACAGATGCCGTGTACGCCTTCTAAGACAAGTTCTCTTGTACGTCATTATACTTTTTGGGAGCATCGTAATATGGATGACGTCACGGAGGTACCCACTGCTGGACAAATTCGACCACAGCACCAACAAGATTCCAGTCGCAAATCTCACAAACAACATTATATCTGATAAACTGGGAACTTTAAAATACACCATAGTGAGGGACTCCAACCCAATGGCCTTAACTGATTATTTTAATCCAAGGGAAGAAATTGTAAATCCATTACCGAACAAATATGTGATAAAACCAAAGAATATGTGTGACGACCCTCCTTTTCTGGTCATAATAGTCTGTTCTATACACTCTCACACAAATGTCCGAGACGCCATCAGAGACACATGGGGAAGTGTAGGTCACGGCAGTGCGTGGCCCGGATCTGACGTCAGACTTCCAGTGAAGATATTGTTTCTGTTTGGAAAGGTCAAAATGCCAAGCATGGAGTATCTCATTAAGCGAGAAAGCAAAACATACAATGATGTATTGCAAGGGGACTTTACAGACAGCTACAAGAACCTTACCTTGAAAACATTAATGGGACTACATTTTGTGGCAAAAGCATGTCCTGCAGCTGAATATGTTCTCAAGGCGGATGAAGACACATTCACGCATGTGCAATTGCTTTATCAATTCCTTCGGACAGTGCACCCTGTCAACAGTGTAATTGGCCACATTTACACAGCAAGTCCCGTACGGAGATACGGCGTTTGGGCCGTATCATTTGAAATGTATCCGTATCATGATTACCCGTATTATGCGTCGGGAACTACGTATGTGCTGTCACGTGACCTTATTGAATGCATCACTAATACCTCGAGTTATCTCCCTTACCTTCCGATAGAGGACGTGTTTGTGACAGGCGTCATGGGTGTTGTTTGTCGCGCCACCCTGGTAGATGTAGAAGGGTTTACCTACTGGCTTCAGAGGGCGCCGGACCCAGAGGAGTTTACCATTGGAAACAAGCTGTCGGGGAACAAAGTATCTCCAGGACTGGCCAGGGAAATATGGAAGGAGCTGATAGATTTTGATGCAAAACCAGCATACCTGAATGTGTCATCTGTTTGATATTTCATTATTGTTCATACTGTTTACATACATGTACTTAAAGAAATAATTACAGAAAAGAGGAATCGGGTGATCCTATATTATTATTAAAATTATTATTATTGTTGTTCTCCAAGAGTTTAATAAAGTATGTTGAATCTCTTGAAGATTTGTTGAAATGGACGTAAAATCATTTCCCAGCATTCAGATAAAGATATGTTTCCTTGTGATAACACCGGCTTCGGGATAAGATGGTTACTTCCGAATCGGATAATGATAATAGAATGGTTATTTGGATCATTACCTTGGTAAGATGGTTACTTGAGGTGTTGATCATAAAATGGTAATTAAGATAATTTATAAGATGGTGATTAAACCTATTACTTAGTTTCCACAAACTAAGTAAATGCGGTATCGGTTGTCTGGAATTGTCTGGCCCAGCACTTGATTCTCTGGCCCAGCACTTTATTCTCTGGCCTAGTACTTGTTTCTTTCGCCAAATACCTGATTCTCAGGCCCAGCACCTGATTCTCTGTCCCAGCACTTGATTCTCTGGTCCAGTACTTGATTCTCTGGCCCATCACCTGATTCTCTGGCCCAGTACTTTATTCTCTGGCTTAGTACTTGTTTATCTGGCCCAGTACTTGATTCTCTGGCCCAGTACTTGACTCTCTGACCAAGCACTTGTTTTTCTGGCCCAGTACTTGATCTTCTGGCCCAGTATGTTTCCTTGGGATAACACCGGCTTCGGGATAACATGGTTACTTCCGAATCGGATAATGATAATAGAATGGTTATTTGGATCATGGTTACTTAAGGTGTTGATCATAAAATGGTAATTAAGATAATTTTATAAGATGGTGATTAAACCCTTTTACTTAGTTTCCACAAACTAAGTAAATGCGGTATCGTTTGTCTGGAATTGTCTGCTTTATGACTTGATTTTCTGAATTTCTGGCCCAGCACCTGATTCTCTTTCCCAGTACTTGATTCTCAGGGCCAGTACTTTATTCTCTGGACCAGTACTTTATTCTCTGGCCCAGTACTAGATTTTCTGGCCCAGCACCTGATTCTCTGGCCCAGTACTTGATTCTCTTGCCGAGTACCTGATTCTTTTGCCCAGTACTTAATTCTCTGGCCCAGTACTTTATTTTCTGGCCCAGTACTTGATTCTCTGGCCCAGTACTTGATTCTCAGGCCCAGTACTTTATTCTCTAGCCCAGTACTTGATTCTCTGGTCCAGCACCTGATTCTCTGGCCCAGTACTTGACTCCCTCGCCCAGCACCTGATTCTCTGGCCCAGTACTTGACTCCCTCGCCCAGCACCTGATTCTCTGGCCCAGTACTTGACTCCCTCGCCCAGTACTTGGTTCTCTGGCCGAGAACTTGATTCTCTGGCCCAGTACCTGATTCTCTGACCCAGCACTTGATTTTCTGGGGTTTTACAGCTATTTTGAAATATATAATAGTGGAAACCGAAAATGCTTGGAGTTTCACTTGTATGACATGGTTACCCCTATACGATGGTTATCTGTTGCTGTATGAGTGTGTAACTTGTTTAAGATGGTTACTTACATAATATTGTTACCTGTATAAGATGGTTACTTGTATAATATGGTTATCTGTATAAGATGGTTACCTGTATAAGACGGTTACCTGTATAAGATGGTTACCTGTATAATATTGTTACCTGTATAAGATGGTTACCTGTATAAGATGGTTACCTGTATAAGATGGTTACTTACATAATATTGTTACCTGTATAAGATGGTTACTTGTATAAAATGGTTACTTGTATAAGATGGTTACCTGTAAAAGATGGTTACCTGTATAAGATGGTTATCTGTATAAATGGTTATCTGTATAAGATGGTTACCTGCATGAGATGGTTACCTGTAAAGGATGGTTACCTGCATGAGATGGTTACCTGTAAAGGATGGTTACCTGTATAAATGGTTATCTGTATAAGAGGGTTATCTGTATGGTGCAGTTGCTTGTATAAGATGGTTACCTTTATAAGATGGTTATCTGTATACGATGGTTATCTGTATAAGATGGTTACCTGTAAAGGATGGTTACCTGTATAAATGGTTATCTGTATAAGAGGGTTATCTGTATGGTGCAGTTACTTGTATAAGATGGTTATCCTGTTATAAGATGGTTATCTGGTTATCTGTATAAAGATGGTTATCTGTATAAGATGGTTATCTGTATAAAAGTGTATCTGTATAAATGGTTATGGCTGTATAAGATGGTTATCTGTATGGTACCAGCATTCTGTATAAGATGGTTATCTGTAGTATAAGATGGTTATCTGTATAAGATGGTTATCTGTATAAGATGGTTATCTGTATGGTAAGTTCATCTGGATTATCTGTATAAGTTATGGTTATCTGTATAAGATGGTTTTCTGTAAGAGGTATGTTATCTTATCTGTGGCGCATATATTGGTTATCTGTAGATGGTTACTTAAGATATAAGATGGTTATCTGTATAAATTTATCTGTTATCTGTATAAGATGGTCTGTATGGTTATCTGTATAAGATGGTTATCTGTATAAGATGGTTATCTGTATAATATGGTTATCTGTATAAGATGGTTATCTGTATGGTACAGTTATCTGTATAAGATGGTTATCTGTATAAGAGGGTTATCTGTATAAGAGGGTTATCTGTATGGTGCAGTTGCTGTATAAGATGGTTACCTTTATAAGATGGTTATCTGTATAAATGGTTATCTGTATGAGATGGTTATCTGTATGAGATGGTTATCTGTATAAGATGGTTATCTGTAGAAGATGGTTACCTTTATAAGATGGTTATCTGTTTTAGATAGTTACCTGTATGAGATGGTTACTTGTATAAGATGGTTAATTGTATATACTAAGGTAAGAATACTGCCCCACTTCAATCATATGGTTTTAAAGTATATATTTCCGTAACTTGTACACGGAATGGATGGGCAAATAAATCTTTCGACTTATATATATGAATACCATCACAGTAATACACACAACCCAAAAATAAATGAGTACAATCAAGGTAGAAATATACAATAGATATAATCGGTGAATATGATGGAGGTGTGTCGGGTATGAGGAATAAGCTTCATTTTCATATACATTTTATTGATCGCTTTTAAATCTGTTTCATGAAATCATGAACGGATGCCCATATCGTTTGATAAGCGTTTGCAGTTTCTAATGAATTTACATAAGTAACTTCTGAAGTACAGAACTGAGGCTAAATCCAAAGGTATAGAAGTATGAATTTGATTTTATGGTGATATAAGTTGGACATATGAAGAAATAATGGGCAGTATGCTCAGATCACGTTATGTTCAAGATACTGTAGTCGCATACATACGTATTCTACAAAGAAACTAAGAACTAATGCTACGACCACTACAACAGAAGTTGGCGGTAGGGTAGCCCAGTGGTTAAAGCGTCTGCTCGTCACGCCGAAGACCCGGGTTCGATTCCCCACATGGGTACAATGTGTGAAGCCCATTTCTGGTGTCCGCCGCCGTGATATCGCTGGAATATTGCTAAAAGTGGCGTAAAACCATACTCACTAACTCACAAGTTACATTAAGAAGTTCACATAGATCAAGCAAGTATTTGCTGAATACATTTACACAATTGTCACCAAAAAGCCATCATTCCTTAAAATGATCAGATATGTAAGCATTCATATCTTCAAAACACTTATAGTTATCATCAATATAATCATCTCTTTTTTATTAATATCTCATAATCGGACAAGGTGGACGTGTAATCAATATACCGTTTTTACAGGTTTCATCTTTGAGAAAGCTAGAACCTTCCGGTTGAATGTATAAAAAAGTTTCCAAATGTCAAAGTCAAAAGATGTTTATTGTACAAAAGGCCTCCGGTCCATATACATTCGAGTTATATATATGCATTATACATATGGTGCAATAAGTAGTAATTAGTGATCTAAACAGCAAATCATGATACAGGCAGTAAATTAAGTACAGTAGTGAAATACGATGGGTCTACAAAAATGGAAATAGAGGTTTATTGAACAGCAGAAATATGTGACTATTTTAATACACCTTAACACACCCGTGAAGATCCGGGTTAGAATTGGTTTCCAGAAACCCATGCTTGTCTAGGCGACTAAAGGGATCGGGTGGTCAGGCTCACTGACTTGGTTGACACATGTCATCGTATTCCAATATTGCGTAGATCGATGCTCATGATGTCAATCACTGGAGTGTCTGGTTCAGATTCGATTACTGACAGACCGCCGTTATATAACTGGAAAATTGCTGAGTGGGGCGTTAAAAAACAAACTTAACGAGAAAGATTCTTATGCATATAATTCCACCTGATATCTTTCCTGTAGATGATCTCCTTGTGCGTGGAACAGCGAACCGCTTGTGATTTGGGAAAAGATGAGAATAGTCCTCACTAGGCCATGTTTCTGATCGTTGAAAAATATTCAGTATTTTCGTTGATATTCGTTTATACCATCTCAGCGTCGGTGCAAAATGATGATGATGATGATTGGTCGCCTCTCTACTTTAACCAGTAAACCACACGGGTTGAGTGAGTGAGTGAGTTTAGTTTTACGCCGCACTCAACAATATTACAGCTATATTGCGGCAGTCTGTAAATAATTGAGTCTGGATCAGACAATCCAGTGATCAACAGCATGAGCATCGATCTGCGCAATTGGGAACCGATGACATGTGTCCACCAAGTCAGCGAGCCTGACCACCCGATCCCGTTAGTCGCCTCTTACGACAAGCTAGAATTGTTCTTCAGAGTAACCCATGCTTGTCGTAAGGAACTATATTTTACCGTCACCACCTCAGAGGCAGATGTAGTTGTGATGGTTGATTTCATTTCTTGTTCTCGTTGGCAGTAATTCGGTTCACTGCTGACAACACAGGCGACGAAAGGGTTACAGTTGGCAATAATTCGGTTCACTGCTGACAACACAGGCGACGAAAGGGTTACAGTTGGCAGTAATTCGGTTCACTGCTGACAACACAGGCGACGAAAGGGTTACAGTTGGCAGTAATTCGGTTCACTGCTGACAACACAGGCGACGAAAGGGTTACAGTTGGCAGTAATTCGGTTCTCTGCTGACAACACAGGCGACGAAAGGGTTACAGTTGGCAGTAATTCGGT